TGCCATAGAGCTCTTTACTCTATTTACTTTTAAAGATTTATTAAGTGTTCCTCCTTGATATTTATTTCATATTCATGTTACAGCTGCATGCTTGTGATCAACAACATCCTTTTTCTGACGACAGGACAGGAAAATCAAATCCCACTAAGATCCGTTTATCCGTCCACGTGTAGATGGCGGCTCTCTCCTCAGGCTGCACAGCAACACAAACACAGAGGAGAGCTGGAGTTTGGCTTTAGTGCTGTTGGAACACCACATCTACACACGGAGTCTGCTTCAAACACGACGGAGCACAAACACAGCTGAACATCAGAGACACGAACGTCCACGCTGTCACTGGGACTGTAAACAACAACATCAACAACAGCAGTGCCTGTCGGAGGGACGTGGTCACGTCTGGTGGAGGTTACATGTTATCTCCGGATGTCTCACTGTGACTAACACCTTGTTGGACAGAGCTACAGAGAAACCCACTGGGTCTTTCAGCACCATGGACAGCTCCTCCTCCAGACTGAACCTGCTCAGTGAAGGGATTCGTTCAGACTCTGTTCGCTGGGTGAACTCCGGCTCATGTTTGACAAGCTGGCCATGAGGGACTTCACCTTGTGAGCATAATAGTTCCTCAGATTGACAGAGGGAGCCTCCTTTATTCCCTCGTCGAAATCGCAACTTCTCATGGCGATCTCCAGCTGCTTTTGTCTTTTGTAGAAGAGTGAGAATTTGTTGAAAATCAACGTGATCGGAAGCACAACTACTAAGATCCCAGCCAGGATGCAGGCTGAGGCGGTGAGCTTGCCCGCTATGGATACAGGCACCACGTCCCCGTAGCCCACGGTGGTCATGCTGACAGTGGCCCACCACCAGCACGCCGGGATGGTGGACAGGTCCTCGCTGTCCTCTTTCTCCACTGTGTAGGCAACCACCGAGAAAAATGAGACACCAACTGCCAAGTAGAGGAGCAACAGGCCCACCTCCTTGTAACTGTTTCTGAGGGTGGCCCCCAGCGAGCGCAAGCCTGTGGAGTGTCGGGCCAATTTCAGGATGCGGAAGATCCGCATGAGCCGAAGAACTTGAGCAACCCGTCCCAGGTTGGCCAGGGCCGGGCTGCTCTCCACTACCAGGTTGATGAGGAGCGTCAGGTAAAATGGAAGTATGGACACCAGGTCTATGATGTTTAAAGGGTGGTCGAAGAAGTGCAGAAGATCTGGTGCCACCACAAACCTGGCCACTAGCTCCAGGGTGAACCAGGCGATCCCAAAGAGCTCCACCATCTCGAAACGTGGGTCCTCCATGGCCTGTTCCTCAGCGTCCACCAGGCTGAACTCACTCATGCTGTTCATGCACATGGTGGCGATGGAGCCCAGCACCACCAGGATGGACATGATGCTGATGATGCGGCTGGCCACCGAGTATCCAGGGTTGTCCAGCATCAGCCACACGCGCCTCCGTGCGCTCCCGAGCAGCTGCTTGTCAAACTTGGAAGCATCGTTGTAAAACTCCAGCAGCTCATCGAATGAGGAAGTGGTGCTCCCTTCATCGCTCCGCTCTTCCCAGTCCTCCCGGTCCTGGTCCATTTTTCTACAGTGGTAAGCGCTGCTGCAGCAGGAGTCCAGGAAGAACTCGTTGATGCCCCAGTACTCAATCTCCTGGCTGAAGGAGAAGATGCACAGCTCGGCCATCACGTGCAGCCGCCCCGTGTGGTAGAAATTCAGCACGTAGGGGAAGAGAGCGGGGTTCCTGTCGAAGTAAAACTCCTTCTCCGCGTCGTCGTAGTCGTCACACAGCTCCAGGATGGACTCTTTGGACCGGCACTGCAGGAGGCGCGCGAGCCTGGTCTCCGGGAAACGGGAGAGGGTGTCCGACTGGAGACGCTTCTTGAAGCCGCCCACGTTGATGCGGATGGCCGCGTTGTCATCCATGCGATTCCCGCTGCCCGAGCCCCTCAGCACGTGCCCTGTCATGTCTGGAGAGGGACGCGCGCGTGAGCACGCACACACACACACACACACACACACACACACACACACGCGCGCGCGCGCGCACATTAACACAAAGAAACGGACACGAGAGCAGCAGCGGGTTGGCTCTGAACTTACTTTACGCTTGGGTCTGTTCTCCTGATGCTCCTCTCATCTTCAGCGGTGAAACATGACAGCTGGAGAGAACCTCTGGTTCTAATGAGCGGAGACCTGGGTTCTCCGGGTTCCGACCCTTTGGACCGAAGACAGAGGCTGTTCCATCCTTCTGTCTCCGTTCTCCAGCCACAGGTAGCTGCTGGCTTTGACGCCCTGCCGCTGCTGCTGTGTGTCAGAGCGGGATCCCTCTGCGTGTTTGCTCGTCTCCTCCTATCTGTTGCTGCGCAGCAACACGTAGCTCTCTCACGTGCACCACCCTCCCACTGAGCTAGCGTCATGGTGCCGATGGGCGTGGCACGGGAGACACAAAACACCTCCTGACTCAAGGTCATCATGAGGTTCTGGTACCTTAGCACCCTCTTGGCTTCTCCTTTGAATCATTTCTGGAGCAAAACCCTAAAAATCAGATTTCTTTTCACACATAAAAGCTGGATGTTAGATGAAGACATTCCATCCATCATCAGAAACACATCTGGATTAGAAAAGCGATGCTTGAACCGGGTCGTTGGAGCTGAGACCTTCTGAAAACCGAAAAGTTCAATTTTTGTTTCTTTTATTGAGACAAAGTTTGTTTATGTTCCTCTCCAACACATTCTCACACCCAAGGCGTCAAAATATGACGTGTGTGACCAAGCGTCAATATATGATGATTCGGGATGCCCCAGCGTGTCAGGAGAAGATGATCTGGGACACGCTGGGTCACGTGGCTCCGCTGGTGTCACTGTTTGACGTGCGCAGTCACATGGACATTATTCGACTATTTAACCTTCCCCTCACCCCAATCCTAACCTTAAGGTCCATAAACTGTGACCTTAAGGTTAGGATTGGGGTGAGGGGAAGGTTAAATAGTTCACAAGTAGTTCTAATGGCTGTCTCACCTCCTGCGTCAGATACCAACGCTCTGGGACGCTGCGTCGGCTGTTTGTCCCTGATTGCCATCTCCTGACGCGCTGGAGTGTCCCAAATCATCATATACTGACGCTTGATCACACGCGTCCTATTTTGACGCCTTGGGTGTGAATGTGCTGTCCTCTCGGAGGTTTGACCTTGACCGAGACCAGAGACCCACCATCACTCCTTCATGGGTTATTTTATGTAAACTGTGTTTAAATTTAACCTGTTGCTTCTGTTTCAGCACAGGAAAACATTTAGGAAACCAAACATTTTAAATATGTTTAAGCTTCCAAAACTTTTGAATAATCATTGAAAGGAGCAATGAGTTATAATTTACAGTGAAATAATCACTAAAGAGTCTAACGTCTCACTCACACTGGAGGAAGGTTCTACTAACAGATTTCCTTCTCAGCCTGTGTGCCATCTGTGAGCTTGCGAGGTGCCAGAGTCGGCGTTTGTAACCCGGCACCAGCAGGCTAATAGCTCCAGAGTTGTTTAAAGAACCGAAGCCAGTAAACAGGAGCGACCCAGAAGTTGTTTCTTGTACGCCTAAGAAGCCACGGCATCTTTTTGTTTTACTCTAATATCAGGTGAAGCAGATTAGAGGCTAACGTTGAGCTAACACTAGATATGGCCTGTCATTTATGGCTCGTCTTTGCTTGTTAGCTAGCAGCCTTGAAACTCCTGGAACGGCGGTGATGAAGTCTGCAGTATCCAGTTTAACATGTGTGTGTAGCCCTAACCCTTATGGTGCTGCTGCGTGATGCTAAAACAGAAATGATCTGTGAAACACAGGTTATCATTACAAAAACTCCAGTGATGTTCTTGCTTGGGTTGCTGTCTCCCTGTGATGGCTTTACTTTACTCACCCCCCGTCTGGGTTCACCCTTCAGGCCTGACTCTGGTTTGAAAACCCATCAGGGATTCTCAGAGGTGATTTCCTACTTGCTGGACTGTTAAGTGACTCTCATTGGGAAATGTAAGCTTCAGCTCCAGGCAGCAGGGAAGCCGTTAAAGATCTCATCCAGACGAAGCAGCAGCAGCATGAATATTTGATCCCATTTTCCTTCAGAACAACTGAAGCGTGTGAACCCATGGGACTGCCCCAGTCGATCGGCTTTTGTCGGGCTTTATCACAAGCTGAAGCTCCACGGATCCTCACACAGCAGCTTTAACCATCTCCATTCTGATGAAATGACAGGGACTCGTCTTCTACGTGTCTGCACTGGCTTATGCTCACCGTGTTGCTTCATAAACAGCCCAGCTTCTTTCCTGCAGTATGAGGATGCTTTTCAGACGTCAGCTTAGGTGACAGGCGGGGTTTCTCATCACCTGCTGGGAGATGCTCATTTTCTCTGCAGGATATCTGATTTGGGTGAAAATAATGGTGTTTTCTTGCACAGCAAACACTGTCGGCTCTGAATGGTGTCTGGAATGGTGCATTAACACACCTCCTCAGGTTTCATTAGAGCGGGTGAAGACGCTCGATGTTTGCTTTTCTAAATGTGATCAGGACCTTGTTTGGGATTACTGAGAAGGTTTGTTCCAAATCCTTAATGCTAAAAGACTAGCTGCTGCTAATGATTCCCTTTCTGCTTTTCGCAGAGAAACGGTGGTTGGCTTCATTCTTCTCCCACATGGTTGAGTTTACTGTTCCACTTTGTGGAGGAGGAACGATTCCTCCTGTTTCCATGGGTGAGCTGTCTTAGTGTCAGCAGGATTTGCTTTTAAGAATCCTCCCATTTATGTTTGTTTTGTAGACTAGCTCAGTGCAGTTTCTGTAAAACAAAACTTAACCAGTAATTATACTCAAATGATCAAAAACATGCTGTATTCACTGCTGAGAAAAGAAAGTTGTCACTTTTTGGATAATTAAAGTGACACTTGGGTAGTTTTTAGCACCCCCATTGTCGGTTTAGCAGAACCTAAATCTACCTCCTCCGTGTGGGTTCATCTTCATCTCACAGCTGAAACGTCTCCTTCTTCAAGCCTGATTTATCCTTGTCCACCAGCTCTGTGAGGGAGAGTTTTGCTTTCAGACTCCACCATCTCCTGGGGAGTGTTGCAAAGCACTTCCCCACCAGGACAACAGAGGGCGCAACGCTCTTCTGGGGTGTCCTGCCACCATTACAGTCACGTATCTGCTCCTCGATGGTGTATCTACTATTGTGTTTACACTCTTTTAACGTACTTCAGAGATGTTTTAACATGAACACATTCGCCCCTGTCCACCTCTTCATGCGACTGGCACTTCTAAACGTTCTCGTCTTTTCTGTCCATAAATAAAATGCTTGCTTCATATATTTGTACTCTTTCAGTCACAAGGGAATAAGTTTTTATATTTTCATACTTTTCCCCATGATGCGTTCTTCAATCTGGTCCGTGTCTACTGCTAAATATCTCTGTTTTCTGAGAGGGCAAAGACGGTGCTGTTGACGAATTTACAAGAAGTGGCGTCCTGACCAGTCACAAGCTTGCGGTCTCCGCCTCTTTTGATTTGTTAAAAATTGGGACATGTCTCTGTCACCCTCAGTAAACAGCCCTTGCGTCTCCGCATAACGGCACTGTGCGTCTCCGCACCAACGCAGACGAGAAGTATAAATTAGGCTTTAGTGTCTACAGGAGCTAAACCAAACAAATCAGCTGTGTTCACGATCTAAAACATGCAGCTGGAAGCCGACTGCAGCAGCAGGCATGTCAGCTCCATTTGTTTAATACATGAAGGTGGCAGCCCGGCACTCTGAAGTCGCAAGTGCACTTTTCTGGCCACAGGTGTGGTGGGGGTCTGAGTGACATTTCATTAACCCTGTAAATGGTCTTTTTAGCACAGACGATATCATGATGTGCTTTTGTACATCTTTAGCGTACGGACTGGGTCTAGTGACGGGATGTTGTCGCTACACATCTGACAGTCTGGGTGTGGCTGCTGGACCTGAGCCCAGCGTAACAAACACGGTGGTTAACGGGTTCAAATCCCGTCTGACCTTCTAGATGGAGTCTTAGTATTAGCGCCTTCAGATTCAGCTCATATGTGTCTACTGCCCCCTGGTGGAGGACCTACAGGTGGCAAGGCCCCACTGTGTGTTTTATTTTCCCTGTTGTGATGATATTTAACTACATAATGAAATAAAGGTGGTTATTTTATAGCAGCTAGACTAGGATTAGACGCTGACTAGTTATTTATTATGCAGCTTTCAGGGGTTAAAAGGTGGTATGGTCGTTGGCTCCTTCCACGGTCACCCACTGGTGGAGCTCTCCCTTCTGGTGGGCTCCAGGCTACAACCAAGTCACCTGCATTATGCTCATGAAGCATTTCAGAAGTGTCACCTTACCTAAAGACTACTTGTGTTCTTCCTTGATATTTAAGCAGGTTTTGTTGTGAAGGTCTGGATGCCCTCTCCAGCTCCCTGGACCTTACCTGCTTTCCTCCCCTCCACTGGCTCTCCTGCATGTTCTCCCTGTTAATGCTCCTGTTTGGCTTCTCTAACCCTCTGATCATCTTCTCTCCTCCAAACTTGAAAGAGAAACAACACAGTGAACGTCCTCCGCACACCAACTAATCCTGTTCTCCTTGCCTGCTTTGTGTGCTCTCCTCCGTAAGACCTCCTTTGCTCCTCCCATTCGTTTACTACTTTTGCTCCACGGTACTGGTGGTACATTTGCTCATGACATCATTCCAGTCATGGCTGCCTTAGGGAGACGCCCCACTGGGGTGGAAAATTGCGCAATCAGAGCTGCTTTGGGCTGCTGGATGAATCCCTGCATTAACATTCAGAACACACTTTTCACATCTTGATAAAAAACCTCTCAATAAATTCAATCAGAAAGTAACAGAGAACCTCCTCAGCAGAACAAGAGAGGAAATCATATCATATTTATTTTATGATCAACAGAAACAAATGATTACATTTTCATTTATGCTGAGTTAAGAGATAATGACCCGACAGATGCATTATTTAGACAAATGTAAAACAGAAATCTTTCTACTGTTCTGTACTCTAAAGTAAATCAAGACACAAAGTTTTTATCTCAAATTTCCATCTTCAAGCCTTTTTCTTCACATTTCATTTTAGTACCCACGCTCGACTGCGTTTGTGCCTTCTGAGAACCACCTCCTTTAAACTTTTAGTGGAGGAGTGAGCTTTCAAGCGGCAGAGGGGTGCAGAAATAGAGAACGGAGAGGTTAAAATAAGACCAGGGAGAAAAGGGAGGATGCTGCTCTGTCTCTTCGTTCCTCTAAAACCTACAGAGCAGGCTGAAGGGAGAATGTGGGGGAGTTCTTTGTTGAGTAAATCCATCACACACACACACACACACACACACACACACACACACACACACACACACACACACAC